TAGGGAATATTTATGCTTTCAAAATACACAACATATAAAAAGCTGAAAATATTTTTAAAAATTTAAACAAAAAAAAAACGACTTTTTAAAACATATGTTTAAAAAAAACACTGAATTTTGGTCTTTAAACGCTTGCTTTTTTTTAATAAAATAATTGAACTGTATTAATTTGTGCAATTCGTTTTATCAATGATATTATAATAGAATAATTCAAAGTATTTATTTAGTTCCTAAGACAACTGAGTATGAATAGTTTTCGTTCTCTTAGTCAATTTGCTAGCATGGCGTGGCTGAAGGGTATTGCCCCAATTTTGCCCGAACTCTTGAATTATGCGTGTAGGCAGCGCGTTCGAATCCCACTGTAACCCTTGATGTATCTTTGCGCTGTCTTTCTTTAATTTGTATTATCTGTTCTTAAACTTGAGAAGGGTTTTATAAATCGCTGTTTGCATTGACTACTCAAACTTGCATTTAGTTTATGAGACACATAAAAACCAAAATTTCGTCGAACACATATTTCTACTGAACTCCTCAGCATTGATTGTCCCAATATTTTTCGAAAGCACTTTTTCTACAACTCGAGTCTTATTCATTACCAACACAAGTAAAAGGCATAAAATCTTTATTATACATCTGGGTTCCTTGCGTCTTATTGTCTGATACGGTATCAGATATGTTTCGATAGTTAATGCTCATATTTTGCATATTATTTGTCGCAGTCCGACACCTTATTTTCTATGCTACTTTGCCTTGATTGGAGCTTTATGCAAGATTTTCAAGAAGTTACTCCTCTGGACAAACAACGACTTATAAACTCATGTCAAATAAAAGAACATCAAATTAGTGAGTTCCGCATTGGACTGATCGTTAAAACACGGTTTCCAGAAGATCACAGAAGTGAAGCATCACTGACTGTGGCTTCGTTAAACTTTTCTATCGTAAAGTCCTCGACTTCATCCGCAGGTCGTCGGGCTATCGAAATGGGGGTGCCATACTCTCTACAGAGGATCAAAATTGTGATGGCATGTCTTCGATCATCCTCAGAGATGTTTCCCTGACTGTCGCCAAAACCCATTATGCAGCTCTAATGTGACATAAATAAATTGCAATACAAATCAGTGAAGAACTGCGCAAAGATGCATCCAGGGTTACGAACCCGCTATCACCACGCTTTAGAGCATTCGAAGAAGAACGATACCCCCTAACCACAGAGGCACCGACAGAATTTGATAGCCAGCAAAGAATTAAAACTTCTCAACTTGATCTTAGACATCCTAACTGGTTGATAACAGAATTGTTGTTATTTTCTAGCTCTGTCTATATTTTGTAAGTTTGACATATATTTCATTCTGTATTTGTAAAACTGTATGTTTAATTGCTACAAAAGACGGTAATATTGAGAGCCATTTCTGTCATTGATTTAAAAACGAAAATATAATGGCATAGAAGCCTGTGTAAGTACGCGGATGAAAGTGTAATGTTTAGCTACATTTGAAACTTTTTTTCAAACGGTTTTATTAAAAAAAAATTTAAAGAAAAGTTTAAGTAATGCAGTGGAATATGTTAAAGCATTAGTTACCGATTGCAAGTGTCATTCAAAATCGATCCATACAGCTTTTATTTTTTCATTAAAAAATTACTTAAAATATTTAGACAGAATTATTATTTATAAAAATAATAATAAGAATTTGCATCCACTTTAAAAATTTTGCTTGCAATTTTGAAATATATCAATAAAAGCTAATTTCATCAATGGTTAAATACTAATCGAAAAATTTATAACATATTATGCACATATATTATTATATGTTAATAAAAATTGCAAAGTTTTTGTAAAGCGTAAATTAAGAAAAAGCATGTTTTGTCTTAATCGGGACTTATTACTATTCTATCTATGAAACAGTCTAGAATGTTAAGCTTGCATCTCTAACAAAATATATATGTAAGTTGCGATAGGTTTATTTTTGCAAGTTTCTCGAACTGTGGTTTTAGAGACCTTCCAAGTTAGTTAATACAATTTTTTTTCTTTCTTAAATTGTGTTGTGATATAAACGCTATTTTTAGCTAATAAACTGCCGAACATGTAAGTGAGATGGGAGAAAAAAAAATTCGCGATTTTATAATTTTTTTTCCTTCTTTCTCGCGAACTTCTATCTGTAGCTTTGCTTTTTGCTTAAAACCATAAATGTTTGCATACGCATAAATATAAACAATACGCATGTAATCAAATAAATCTAAGTATGTAATCAAAGAAAACAAATCGTAAACATTTTTACTGTTTGCCTATCTGTTAGAATTAACAATTTCTTAAAAATATCTTAATGTTCTTGATTGAAATCGTAAACCTGAGGTTTATAAAGAACTAGTTTAAATTCTAGTTTAGTAGTGATACAATTTTACGCAGTTAAAACTGCGAATAAAATATATTGTAATTATTAAAATGCTACACTGTCAATAAAATATTCATAATTAGCGGTATTATATTATAAAAGAAAAATGCGACAAAATGAAATAAGGTATATTTTATAATAAACTTAAAAATCGTTTTTTTTTTTTTTTTTTTTTTTTTTTTTTTTTTTTTTTTTTTTTTTTNTTTTTTTTTTTTTAATTGTAGCTTGTAATTTGTTTAGAATTCGCATATTTTCTGAAAGCTTTCTGTTTCAAACTGCACAAGGAAAAAATTATTGCATGCATCTGAAGTTATCTCTTCCCGTCTTCTCCTTCCATTTTTTTTGGAAAAAGATGAAATGTGAAAAGAACGTAAATCAAGGAACTTCAAAACCAGTTTGATTGAAATGACGAATTGAAGCTATTTCCAACGCCTTTACTCCCCCTCACTTTAGTTTCCGGCAATCAAACATATTTTGATATTTTTATGATCAACTTTCCCGTCAACGAATCGTCAGTTTTTTTTTTGTAGCTTAATTATTAAATTGAAAGAAGTTTTCATAATTAGATTGAGATTTAGGTAAAGAAGTTTCTGTTAATTTTATTTGTACCATAGAGTTTTTAAAAATATAGAAATGTATATTAAGGGTGTTAATTACGGAACACCTGATATATTATTTCGGCCCATGATGACAAAATATGCAATTTGTGAGGTGGAAATTTCTTTTCCTAACTAATAAGTGTATGTGACCTTTAAAAAATGAAACAAAAACATTTCAAATTTTAAAATAAAAAAAAAGAACTTTAATATGCTTCATCCATGACCATCTTTTTTCACTAAATTAGGTAATTTTTCTTTGTGATCAATGTTTTGATAAAATAGATGAGTGAACATGGATACACAAAGTATGTATTAAGGGGCATAAAATGACGGGTAGAAACCCGAGGCAAAATACTCGATTTGTAACTCTTAAAATGAGTAGTGGGTTCACAGGGGTTAAATCATATACAATGGAGAAATTATTTTTTTCTTAATTTCAAACAAAATACAGTCGAACCTCGAAGACAAAAACATTTTATACGATTTCTCTCTTTGAATCCATAAAAACATTTTATCTGAGGAAACAATAATCAAGTTCCTATTTTCTACCTTTGCGGTAAACTTCCTTGTTGAAAAAAAGTTTTTTTGAACTAGTTAAATAAGGAGTATTTGTTTTTTAAACTCAGGTTGGGTGATCACAGTTAATTCTCTGCAATTGGTGACCTCGTAATCTGAACACTTGGGGACGGACGGGGACCTCTGACGACAGGGTGTGCTTCCGACTTACATGATGACCCAGGAAAGGAGAAAGTGATTGAAAATTTTTCCCTGCCGACTGTGAAAGTCTTTTGCAATTGTTTCATTTGATTGCTAGCACGTTATCGTTTCTTGCTGTATTGTAGCTCTAGTTGTGAGGAAAAAGTCTCTTGTTTGGAAATTAAGCGTAAAATTTCATGTGATATTAGTAATAGGATTTTTTAAAAATAAAGTCAGCCGGAACACCTGTAGAATTTTTGACGGTTATAAAAAAACGCGATTAAAATTAAACGGCTTGAGCAATTAATCACTATAAATAAAAGAATAAATAAATTCTACTAAGAACACCAAAAAGTTTGGTGCTGTTTTGTAAGAAAAAGATCTTCCTTTTGCTATATTTTATCTGTTAATGTGCTATATCATCAGACTTAGTCTTAACAAGATTTGATTGCATTCTAAAATTTTTTGAAATGCAAAAAGTTTGAATTTTAATGGTCTAAAACTTCACAATAAAATTTGTTTAAATGTCTGTTAAAAAACTTTAATTTCATCAGAAAAAAATTAGAAGTTGAATTAAAGTTTTAGTGTCTTTAATTGTGAAATGATCACCCTTTGTCCGAGACCGTTGCTACCCCTCCTTCCACCTCTCTGCATGCCACTGAGTTATTAAAAAAAAAGAAGAAAAAAGAAAAAGACTTAGCTAAATTCAAATTTTTTAAAATCTGGTCCAAGTTTTGGATCACACTTTTTAAAGGAAACTATAGTTCTTTCGCTTTGATGTCTATTCAAAAATTCATGTAAATTTCTTTTCCATGCACTTTTTCTGCATTGAGTAACACTGAAGTTTTTTTTCCTTCTTGAATTGAATTTATACAACTTTTAAATTAGTTAGTTTTGATGGATAAGTAGTTTAAACGTGTTAAAATATTTTACGTTTAGTCCTAGTTTTTCTTATAAATATAAGCTAGATATCAAAAGTTGTTTCGATGTTTTTAACAACCATTATCCTCGTTATCGAGCAAAATTGCAATTGGTTACCTCAAAATAATAATAATATAAATTACGTGAAGCACTAAATCTAACTATTGTTTTCTTCATTCTCGTAAGGAGCTCTTCTAGCAGCTTAAACTTTATGCTCCTATCTATTTTATGGTTTTATATTTATTTTTTTGGTGCGTCCGTTCCACTTTTTTATTACCTGGAAAATACAAAATGGTCCATAGCGTTTTTAGATTGATGAAATCTTTGCCCTAATGGATATTTCTAAGTGTAGGTAATTTGCTTTTATAAAAAGAATTGAATATTTCTCAAAACATTCTTGTTTAAATAAAATTTATTTCTCATTTTTGGCAGATAAAAAAAATTTAAAAACAATATCATTTAACATTAATACTTGTATAAGACTCATAAATATTGTCAAGAGTTTCATTAAACTGCTTAACATCGACATCAGATATGGTTATATAAGAACTTCTATTCACATGTTCACTGTAGACTCCTCTTATTTTATTGATATCTGTATCGTCCGAGATGCAAGTTTTAATATAGGATTTCAATGAATTCCACCTTTGCTTGCTAATCAAATAATCGATAGTTTGCATACCGTTGAACTCTAGAAGTATTTGCATCCGCTGTTCTATAGTTGAATACTTAATTATCCTTTCCACAAACTCATCTGTTTCCTTCAGTGAAAATATCCTGCTCAGAAATGTAGCATTGATGCATTTGTGAATGACGTAACATTTGTAACGCAACGAAGCCTTCTCCCAAAATTCTTGAAATATTTCTCTGTAGATTAGACCATGGTGAAATTCTGAAGCTTTACGAATTACTTCCTCTAAGATATTGTAGTAAGCCACGGGGGACAACGCTTTCCAAAGATCATCAACGAGTTCCAAAAATAGATTCTGCAATGGCCAGTTTAGAAAGTGGAGTAACATATTTTCTGATTGTGCAATGAATAGTATGTTTTGGTCCGTCTTACTTAAATTAGATAAAAGATAAGCCAGTAAGTTTGAATTACAATCCAGTCGCTTCATAATTAAGTAGTTTAAAGAGTTCTTGACGACTTTAGACAAGTCTTGCGGTTCTAATTGCTCGATAAAATATTTGGCTGCCACGGCGTTATTGTTTATAACTGCTGACCATGCGGCAGACTGCATAAATTCGTGATGTCCACTGAATTCCATTATTTCCATCATATCTTCCATTTTATCTTCTAAATGACACACCCAAAACATTATTTCTGGTACTTCAGCGCAATTTAAACGCTCATTATCAACGTCATAAAAGTAGAAACGAACTTCTGGCCAAAGTTGATTTATTAGGACGTCTAAACAATTAATGCAAGCCAATCTAAATCTGTTTAGAATACACAAATTCTCGTTTAAAATAGTTTTCTCGGCAGTAGTTTTCCAATCTATTGTTCCGGGTGATTCCCATATCAGTGTCTCAGATAGTTTTAAGTCCCCTAATTCCAGAAATGCGTGAAATTCCAACCATCTTTGTAGTTCTTTGCCAATCGGTTGAGCAATATTTAAAAGAAGATTTTTCGTACTCGGAGGAATGGGTAGCAAGTTTAAGTTATTTATAAGAGTGTCTTCAAGCTCTTGCCACCATATATCAAATTCTTGGCGTGATAAAGAGTTATATTTCTGATAACTATGAGTGGGATTTACACTGTACCACATCGATGTTACTAGAGCTATTGAAGAGTTGTGGACAAGAGAAATATTACCCCAACAATCCATTCCTGATGCCGTGCCTATTTTGAAAAGAAAACAAGTTGTATAACTTTACTATACAGGTCGATTACTAAAGTCTTGAACCACTCTCTTAAATTTCGGGAGACATCAGCTATTGATATAAAAGTGGTGTTTAGGTATAGTAAAGTGGCTATGCGTTGCTTTATAAAACCTACAATTCCGCCTAATGAAAAACTGAAGTTTCTATTTCGAAAAGGGTGCGAGATAAGAAAAAAAGTGAACAACAAAGGTTTATGGCATCTTGGATTTCATACGAATAGACATCTTGTTGACACTATTCCTTTCAGGACCGGCAGATGGAAAAAGAAGTGCTTTCCCTAACCCACATGCTCCGAGAGAATACGTATGCGTACTAGTGCAAAATATAATATGCGAGTACCAAATGGAGATCACTTCCGTGCGATTTTGAGTCATGGAGTCTCGCTTCATACATGATACTTTATATTTTACGTAGAACAACCGAACTATTGTGCTGAGTTTGCAACTATCATTGTCCAACTCCGTAGTCTTGTAATTTTGAACCCAACCCGGAAGACAATGAATCAAATATTGTATATAGACCCTGAATCAAACATTAGGACAAACTAGCCTTCATGGAAGACTTTTTGATCGAACTAACCCACATTTTTGCGTTACATGGAGAGGAAAACCACGAAAACCTCTCTCGGTTAGCCTGACTGCAAGGAAATTGTAACTCATGATCCATCTACCACTGAAGATATCTTACGTTAGTTCCTTGGTCAGTGCGACCTGGGAGCAGAATTCGTAGCTACAATGCACCGTTGGGGTTCGAAGCAGGGAGACTAATTGGGAGGCGAACGCTCTATCCTCTTAGCTACCACGGCACTATCGCTCGTGAAGGTAGAATCCTGCGATTACGTATATGTGAAAGAGTTAATGGTAAAAAAAAGAATACTTAAAGCGCGCATTTGTTTAATTGCGATTTCTCACTGTAAAAAAGAACGAAACAATCGCAGAAATAGACGAAAATTGGTTATTATAAGACACCTACATTTTCTAGAAATTAAAGAAAAACTTCAACATCGAAAATAAAGATATATTGTGCTAACTTTGAGATTCCATAGCTGTCGTTATTAACAGTTTTTGGCCCTACATTTGCAGAGGTAGCCATATAACAACTAATTTTACAATTGCAAGCAGGATTTTTTTTAACTATGCAGACACTTCATATTTTTTAAGAATATATTTAAGACTTTTATGTATCGATATAAATTACTCATGTGTTTTGGAGGTCAAAAATTCTTTAACGACCAACTAAACAAAAGTAAAAGTAGTTTCTTCCGTGAAAGTCAAGAGGTTCGATAGAAATAATTCCTTTTATTTCTAAAATGTAACGTTATGCCACATTTTAGGAAATCGCGAACAAACAAATGTGCGTTTTAAAAGTTCTTTTCTACGCAATAATAACCTCAAAGTGTTTATTCTTACTAAACTAATGATCTACAACTTATAAAATCATTTTTTTCTTCGTATACTCTTTTCGAAATTGAAACGACTCCACAGTTTTCCACCAAGTTGCACTGAAAAATATTTTATCAACTAATGCATAGCCACTTTATTAGAACTGCTCAACACTTTTTATTCATAACTGAAACTATTCAAAATTTTAGAGTGTTGTTCAAGACTTCAGTGAATACCCTCTATATTATACTTATTATTCCACAATAATATATAAAAAAATGTTCGCAATTTTGTCGCAAACTAAGAATTCCTCTCTTTATCTAGCCATAAATCTGGAGCTTATTATTAATGTTAAAAAGAAATATATGATGAATAAGAATTCAAGTTCATTTGAATGTTTTTGTTCAACGGAGTGGTAAAATTTCCCATTTTTTATTTGTTTAGAAGAACTTGGAAATAAATAATGTTTTTCAATGTTTACGAGAATTGCACATTATAATAGTCATTAAGGAGTTTCTGGCAGTTAAGTTAATTTTGATGCCATTATTTTGTTCTTAAACCTGAAAAATAATTTATGATGCTTGTACTATACACAAAAAAATGCATAACAATATTAAATAACTAAATAAACATCCTATATAACTTTTGGTTTAATAATAGGATTTTAAGAAAAGTCTAACCAAAGCCAAAACTTACTCTCTCTAAATATATCTTTTTTTCGGTGGATTTAAATTCTTGACCCTCAAACTTGACCCTCAAATTGGAAAATATGATTAAAATAGTTTGTTCTGGTGAGAAGTCAAAAGTTTGAACTCTTTAATGTTAATTTGACTTTTTACTTATTTCCCTATCTCAAAGAATCAAATTTTTAATTTTTTAATTTTTAAGAACTATTTGATCCATTTTCCTTAAAGTTTGTATTTTCGCGTTGAAAATTACGTAGAGTAAATTCCTGTTAAATTTCTATAACTGAATCAAAATAATATTTGTTTTAAATAATAATATTTATTTTAAATAATATTTTTTCAAATTTTTTTCGACCTTTACAACATTAAATACTAAAAATTGATAACTATTAGAATTAGTTTTTCAGGGATAACGTGTAATTTTCTTTGGATTTAGTAATTTTATAATTGTGTGCGAAACTTTCCGGATATGTCTTGAAATAAGCGAAACGCGCAAACAAAACCAACGGAATTAAGCAAAACAGAGAACTCCAACTTGCAAGGGACCCTCTTGCGTAAACTATTGGTATCATAGTTTCCAGATTGTGGCCATTTCCCACTTTTGAGAGAGAAATATTCAAGTCCGATGGAGAAAAAAGAGTTCGCAAACTTAAACATGGAATAGACTAAATAACGTTTCATCAAATGATTGGTTTATCACACATTAAATTCAAGAGGTCACTTGACTTACATTTAGTATAGTCCATTAGTGTAACAAAATAAACCAAACCAAATTACAGTTATTCACTAAGTATTTTGAGAAAATTTTAAATGGAAAAATTTGGATATAATAATTGCTGAGCTACGGAACTTCAGAAAGCGTAGATTTTAAACGTGGATTTTAAAATTTCATTCCTTGATAGCATTTTGTCACTTAAATTTTCATAATGCAAAATAATGTAAAAATTTGTATTTGTATAATATCTAACACTTTTCCGACCATTATTAAAACAAAAAATATTAACTTATAAACATTTTGCCTTGTTGTTGATGGAACTATGTTTGTAAAATGGAGTTTCATAACTGAGAGCAAAAACTTTTTGTTTCACTTTCACAGTTCCAGAGACAAGACAAAAATACAAAAGGCAAATTTAACATTAAGGCTTAAACTTTCGAATGCTGAACTAAACGATTTGGCTTACATTGACTAGATTGCAGCTATTCCAGTCCATATTTTAGAGGTTCAAAAATCCAAATCCAGAGGAAAAAAAGATATATTTGTTTAAAGAAAGTACGTTTTTCTATCAAATTTCATTACTTAGAAAAAAATGTTCTGAGAAACTGCGTTTTTCTACCAAATTTCGCCATGTCATCCAATTTCAATTAGTTTAATGCTAATGAAAATTACTCCTCTTAAGTTTGAATCCGATCATGGGGTTATAAGTTATTCAGATGTCGCATTATTTTTCGCATGAGTTTGACATAATTCTATTTGTTTTATCAAAACTAAATAAAAAAGAATTCAATTGATAAATTTATTAAGCATTTATTGTGGGGGGAAACAAGATTATAGATCTTATTTATTTTTATTGTAAGAATTTAGTCAGATGCGTAGATTAAGTGTAAAACTGCATGCAAATTTCATTAAAATTTTGAAATATTTGGTTTAAAAACTTGCATCTGTATTAATTTATTTATTTTACACAGACATAGCTCTAATTTGAAAAAATTAATCCTTTGACATGGGTCCCCAAATTTATGGCTTTCGTCAATTATTCTCTTTTTCCCATCGCTATTGTTCTCTTATCTATTGTTTCTATTAAGCAGTTTCTCTCAAATTGAATTATCTTCTTTAAGTAAAGACCATGACAGAAAGTACTTAATTGTGTTCGTCCTCTTTTTGCATTATTCAATTCATTTTCATTGTTTAGATAAGATTTAGTGTGAAAACATTTGTTTGATTTTGATGATATTGATTTGTTTGATTGATGATATTGATCGGCTAAATATAGCCGGACTTAAATGTCTTTAAACTGAAAAAAGGTTTTCAAAATTTCTTATGTTATCACATTTCATAAATTGACTTTGTCGAAATGTAAACAGAAGTAAAGAATAGCCGTCAACTTCAACCATTGTTTACTTAGAGGGCGTGATCAATATAACTGAAGCAACATTGCTTTTGTGACATTTCACTTGAAACAGCCTGATATTTAATACTAGAGTCATAGTTGTCTTGAATATTCATAACTAAAGACTTTAAGTTAAAGTGTTCATCCCTTATCATGTTACAAAGTAATCACAGTTACCTTTTTACACAAGATTTTATGCTAAACATATTTAGTTTCCGTTGGACAATTTTAAGAATAAATAATTTATGTTTTTTTTAAAAAAATTAGTTATTTTAATTTTAATAACAGATTTTATATGAAATTGTGCTCAGTCAGCATTTGCAGTTTAAATATAGAATATTAATAAATTATTTAAAACTTTTAAACAATATTAGGGATTAATTTTACGAACTATTGCTAAATATTTCTTTGACGAAAAATACTTGTTTTTATTGTTATCAAAAATAATAATAAAAAATTTTAAAAGTAAGTTTACAAATGAAATTTCAATGAAAACAGAACAAAAATATTCGATTAAAATTTTTTTCCTTATAATCGGAAATTAAATCTGTGGAATCGATTCTGGGTAAAGTTAATAAAAATTTATGGGAACTTTTCACTAAAAATTTTATCACTTTTGTTTAACAATCTGTTTACTGTCAAAAAACAAAAAAATATTACAAAGCAATAGTAGGAGTTGGAGGGCAAAGAAAACAATATGCGCAGATAATTGCTTATTTTAATGCTTTCATATAAATATATTTTACAGTAAATAACAGTATCTAAAAGGAGAATACTCGTTTTATTCAACAAAAATAATATAGTTAAATATTTATGCAAAAATAAAAGCTCACGTATTTGGTTTAAAAATGTATTTTATAATGAAAAATGGAAATTCTTTACAGATAAATTAATATTTTTCTTGAAAATTGAAAAATTAACGACTATAATAGTCAATTATCAACGCGTCTAGTTTAGTCAAAGAAGCAAATTTTCGTTTCATCTCAAAACTCTATGTTAAGAAAGTGAAAAGAAATATGTACTTTAAATCGTAAAGAAGTAAATATTGTTTTTTTTTTAATATTATTAAATCTAAATTAATTTAAATCCAAGCATGCATTTATTAAATTATTGCTCTAATTATCTTTCAATATTAAACACTTTCTAAAATTTACTTAATATACATTTTTAGTAGCGAGCAATATAACTTCAGGAATCGCTCACAGTTTATATTGGACTGAAGACTAATTTTATACACCATATGAATTATTGTGATAACGTTTGGAGAATATGGTAAGTTGTATGTTTTTCTCAATGGAAATCATATATAGTGAGTCTTTGTTTCATGTTTATTAATATCGTAAGCGAAAAGTTTAGTTTACCGAATTCTATGATAATACAAGGAAAAATTAGTTTGTAAAAACCGTTAACTATCCTGAAATTTCGAACGTTAGGCGTGAGGGGCAATTTTAGACCTTCAATCACAAAAAATTTGATGACATCATGCAAAATAGAAGTGGGTAAAACAAATTTTTATCCGTATGCCATACCATTCGATTTCATTGCTGTATAACCGTTTCCGGCTCTCTGGAAAATAAACTGTAATGTCAGTCAAATTTTATTACCCGTCTTATTTTGTTCGATGAGAAAAATTTTAACAATGTGAATTTTACTTTAATTCAATTTCCAAGTTATTTTAGAAGCATGAATTTTCTAAAAGTGCTGAGATAATGTTTTGATATTTCAGCCATGGTGACAAGACTTCGAAAACTATTCAGTAGCATATTAAAAGATCTAAACGACTGTAAAACAATCACGAAACAGCACGTTGTGGGCCTGGGGGGTTAGGATTCCACGAAACACCCTGATAGAAGCAATAAAAGTCAGCATCGCGCACCTTCCTCATTTATTTTCCAAACTACGTGATACCCATCGATCTGAAGTTGGGTGGGCTTATGCAGCCTAAGGATTGGATACCACAACGACACACAATCTCCACAATGACAGCTCAGTGTCCTTTAGCATTGTTGAGCTCTTTGAACGGCGGTACAGACCCTGAATGTTTTTTTAATTTGTACATTTTACGCAGTTTTCAGGTTTATATTTTTTAAGGGAAATTTAGGTAGTTTAGAAATATTTAAATGCAAATTTCTACTAAATAATATTAAAATATTTACTTTTAATCATAATTAAAATAAATGTTTTAAGTATTAGAAAATTTTCAACGCAAATAAATGATAATAGCAAAATGGAAACTAAATGTGTATATTACTAAATCTTGTGTAAAAATTTAATATCATAGGATGACTTTAAAATGTAATAACGAAGCAACAATTTTAGTTTAATTTTGAATTTTTTAATTTGTACATTTTACGCAGTTTTCAGGTTCATATTTTTGTAAGGGGAAATTTAGGTAGTTTAAAAAGATTTTAATGCAAATTCCTAAAAATATAATTCTTTCTAAATAATATTAAAATACTTACTTTTAATCATAAGTAAATTTCTTTTAAGTATTAAAAAAATTTCAGCGTAAATAAATGATAATAGCAAAATGAAAACTAATTTTGTAAATTACTAAACCTTGCGTAAAAATTTAATATCATAGCATGACTTCAAATTGTAATAACGAAGCAACAATTTTAGTTATAAGCCTTTAATTTTAAATAATAATCAAAATCAAAAAAGCAATAATCGGGAATAATTTTAAGAAGATATTAAATAAATATAAAAGGTAAATAACGTTAAGTAAGAGATAAATAAGTAATTCACAGGTAAATATCGTTATAATTTTTTTTTAATTTTATACTGATTACAACCAAGGAATAACTAGTTATTTGTTTATTAATTAAGTGATCATGTGAATTTTTTTATCCAATGAAAATGAACCGAAACACGAATTTCATTAGAAATTCGATGAAATCCATTAGGTGCTTACTTTTTTTTTCTTTTAATATTTTTGAATCTGACCCGAATATAAGATTAAATTCTACATAAAGTTTACTTACTTTCAGAGACAGGAAAGATCCCTATTCCTTTACCATAAAGATTAAATTGCAAATATACGAAGCTACAAAATTATTTACAGAAATAGATAAGAAAACTATAATTATTTATTCTCTTTAAAAGGTTAATTGAAAGAAGAAAAAAAAGAAAACAATTTTAACTTATTACATTCTCGTTTTTAATCAAAGTAGTTGAAGTGTTATAGAGAACTTTTAAGAAGAACACAAAAAAGGCAATTGTAAAATATCTATTTTTGGATCTTTCTACTCATTTATTCACTGCGACCTCATTTTACTCCGTTCTGTTTGTTTTTGTTTTGGTTTATCACGTTGTTCGATTTCTAGGTTAGCTAAGAGATGGCGCTTTAGTTTCACATTTTAAGTACGAATCTTACTGAATCGCGGAAGCAAAAGTACTCTGCCACCGAGAAGATTTTAGTCAATCTGTTGTAGCCTGATTTGAAAATAATTGAAACTCTTCATTCATATTTCCGTTTTCAAAATTTTACTTAATTTCCAAATTATTGCTGTGAAATAGATTGAGAGACAAGGCGATATGACTCATTTTACCCACGAATAAATAAAAAAGAATCGATTGAACTGCATGATTCAAGAGAAACATTCTAAGATATTTCGAAAACATACAATTGAAGATTATTTTTCTAAGATAAAGTTTACGCATCTATATATTAAAGCAAAATATAAAACAATGTATTGTCAAAATAAAAATAGTTTGGTGACCACAAATAATAGCAATCAGTGATCATTGATAAAAGTCACTGATTAGCTGAATTATTTTTTATTGCAAGCAGTATTATTATTATTTTTTATTTAATACTTAATTTTTTTAATTGCGATTTTTATTTACAATTTTTTATTTATAATTATTTTTTTTATTTAATACTTACACCAACACAAAGCTAGCTTATTTTTTTATTAGATTTAACGATAAGTTCAGCATGTATGCTAATATATTAAGGTTATTAATTATAATTTTTATTAAAAAATACATGCAAAAAATATCCAAAAGAGCCAAAATTATAGCTACTCATAGAAAATTAAAAACACATTTAAATAATAATTTATTAATATATAACACTTTTAAAAAATNTATTTAATACTTAAACCAACACAAAGCTGGCTTATTTTTTTATTAGATTTAACGATAAGTTCAGCATGTGTGCTAATATATTAAGGTTATTAATTATAATTTTTATTAAAAAATACATGCAAAAAATATCCAAAAGAGCCAAAATTATAGCTACTCATAGAAAATTAAAAACACATTTAAATAATAATTTATTAATATATAACACTTTTTAAAAAAATTAGAATTCTTATTTACTGCATTCACTTAAGTCGTTGAGGTAAAAATTGCACCAATTCAAATTCAGCTGTACTTTCGAATTTGATTCGTGCAATGTTTACACGAGTATCACAATATAAAGAAAATTTGAAATAAAAACATTCATTTTTGAGAAAAATTGTATCTTTCAGTATTTTTAAATAATAGTAATATTGCGGACTTTATACTAATTTTTGAGGACCCCCAGAAAGTGTGGGCCCTAGGCCCGTGCCTATTGGGCCTAGGCGATAACCAGGCCCTGCCCTTAATGTATGTGTCTGCCATTAAATGCAGCTTCTTAATTAAATATAAGTTCCACCGTGAAAATATTTTTTTTATATAAAAATATTATTTTCATTGTATCATTACCCATTAGGTAACTTTTTAGCCATTATTTGATAATATTTGACTGAAACGCTTGCAACTCAGAAGCAAAGTCTAAATAGCCATTTTAAAACTGGACACTAAAGAAAATTATTCATCTTAATACATGAAAAATTTCCCAGGAGAAGAGATTTTAAATGAATGAGTCCATTGTATCATTATATGCTAGTGCAATTTTATCATCATGTTATTACAAATATTTCTTTCTTTCACATAATGGAATAAAAATAACTCTAAAATTGTCTAATAGATTTATCCAGTACTGTTTAAATACATTGATGTAAGCAAAAATATATTTGTCGTGAGATTTAGTTATAACTCTAACAATTGTCAAGCTGTTGGTAAAACAATGGTATGTAAGTGCTGTTTTATTTATGCAGAACTTAAATTGTTTTATTCTGTGTTTAGTTGAAATTAGACAGTATTTTCGGTGGAAATGCATTTTTGACAACTAATTAGCTACATAATTTAACCTTTAAGTCACTTTACTTTCTTAATTAACATTTTTTTTGACTGAAACTTATAAAAAGAATTGCAAAATTGCAATGTGTTATTTTTAAGAAGGACAAGAATGGAAAATACTCATAGCAAAAATATAAAAATTCTGTTAGGCAAATATTTTAAATAAATTTTTAAAATGCGCATTGTAATCTTGCCTATTAGGAAACTTCTTTGCCAATGTTAGCACAGTTTTTTATTGCTATTTTTTCAAACACTTACAAATAGAAAAGCAAAGTGTCAAGTAATATATTAAAGATATGGTGATGAGGGTAGAAAATATTTATTTCAAAAACTAAGAGTACTGTGGTGTTAATATTTAACAAAGTTTACGAAAATAAATGAATATTAGTTCGAAATTAGTTTTTCGATAGCTATAATTTGTATTATTTCAATGAATGAAATTCATTGAGCCAGTAACATTGAACAATGAAACCAGTAACAATATTAATACAGAAATAAATCCTAGAAAAATGCTTTCTGACCGTTGTCATTATTTAAACAGCGCCTTATTGTTACACTTTAAGTTTAGTGCAAATTTAAAAGTATTTTTGATGGAAATACATTTATAACAATTTACTGTGTGGCCATTGCATCATTACATACTAGTTCACTTTTTCACCATGACTTGGTATAGCACTAAAGTGATAGTGACCTATGAACACTTATTTTTGATTACCATTTTAATAAATAGTTATTTCTCGGAAGCAAGGTAATATTGTAAAGTAATATTTTAAAACTAGATGATAGGAAAATTACATTTATTTCAATAAATTCGAAATTCTACTAATCAATTTTTTTAAATGTATTTTTGAGAATGTATTTAATCTCTACAAATATAGCAAATTTTACACACTTACTTTGAATGTACATAAAACTATGCGCAAACACAAATTATAACGCTTTCAAGGTTTGTATTGTTTAAAAAAATCTATTAGTATAGCAAATACAAAAGTCTTAGGGGTTATTGTCAATTTAATTTTAACAATTGCCAAGATGCTTTCCTGCTGTTATTTTTATTTAAGAAACACTGCTAAAATTTTAATTCTAAAATTATGGCAAAAAAACTGGCAGCTGTCTGTCCATCCGATTAACCGTAAAGTTTACTCGAAAGAACATTTTTTTTCCTTTATGGTTTTGAAACCATTTACAAAAAGTACGGTTATAAAACCGTGAATACAAAACTATACGGTTTTTTAACCATTTAAAGCTAGCATTTTTCAAAAACGTAAAAAAAAATTTTTTTTTATTTTTTTTTTAATTTTTATTTAACTGGACATAGGAGCTCGGCTTTTCGTCAGGTAATGGACTCTGGAGAGTGCCGGGCACTGAAAATTCTTCATGTGTTGAAGGGAATGGAGGAAATATTGTGGTAGGACTCGAACTTAAGTTCTGCCGGTCTGAGATAGACAGATAAACCCGCTCGACTGTGATATGTACTCAGTTGCTTGCTAAGAACTAAGTAGCTTCATTAGGTGGTTCTAATTGGTGCGATAAAATTCTGGTTGTTTAACCGTATTAGGTGAAAGCAGTTAATAAACAATTTTTCTCAAACTTAACAGTTTGATTACCCCTTTATTTATGGTTATTTGACTAGTTTGATTAAATATGGTAAAATAAAAATTCAATAAATTGTTATTGAATGATTTTTTCCGAGAAATTTCTAACAGTGAATATTAAATTATAGCATACCGGGCTTAATTGAGAATAAAAAGTATTTGTTTATTGATCGAAATGCAGTTATAACTATTCATAAAGCATCACTTGTATCATTATATTAGACAACATTTCCTTCACAATAAATACTTAAGTTCGACAACTACTTATAAACAAATTTATGGCAGGGGAACAAAATGTAATTACTATTTTAAATATGGACACAAAATTATACTTTTGAAAATGTTTTAATAAATGTTTATTTACAGAAACATAAAAATGTTAATAATTGTATTCTGATAGTGTTAAATTAGTGTTGTTATAATGTATTATTATTAACAACAGTGTATAGGTTTAACATCAGAAGAAAAAAATATTTTTTAAAATTTAACTTGTAAATTCAGTGGGCCAAACGTTTTTATTAACTATTTTACTTGTCCATTATTTCAGTATCCATTGCTCAGTCCAATATTTCACTGATATGTTTTTTTTTCACAATAATTTTCTATTTTTGTTACACTTGCGGTTATAAGGATGAAATCAATAAAAAAATGTCTTGCCAAGCGCATTAATTAAGTACTCTTGAATTGTTAACATGTTTATATGTATTAAAAGTTTATGTTAAAATCAGCTGATACTTCTTGAAACATTTTAATTAGTTAAAATTCTCTAAAATACTCTCCGAATAGTACTCAGAAATCAAACATTCAAATTTGTAAATGAGTTTTACAAATTTGAAAATGAAGATATATTCTTTTTAAATACATGAGCAGCTCAGCTTAATTTATTGATCTGAATAAATTTTATACTTTGAGGCCCTTATAAGATTTAATAATTTCTATTTCATGCCAGCTCTTATAGAGTGATTATTTACTTTTATGCCTCCATGAATTGGCACTTAAAATCTTTTTCTGATAATATACCAGAATCTCAGATCTTGCTAATGTCTCATAATCATTGACTAAAATTAATTTGATAAAGGCTTTATAAAAAAAAAAGTTTTTTCGAAAATACGCTGTGACTTTAGCCCATAAAAAGGCTAGAAAAGTAGAGACAATTTAGTTAATTAAAAATGTGGCAAATGCTAAACAGTTTGATAGTTGTGAGAGTTAACATTCAAGGAAAAGGAAATTCTTCGTGATAGAAATTTAATTCGAGAAACTACTCAAAATCTGTTGCAAATTATCTTTCACGTAACTTAAAACCAGGGCTCGAAAAAACTCAGAAATTTTACCCGTCCCCAATGTATCCGTCCTCTTTTGAAACTAACCCGTCGCTTCTAAATGAATAAAAATATTATTTTTTCTTATTTATTACAAACATTTACATAAATTACACAATGAATTAGTAGCTACTAGGATTACATTATACAGTAATAAAAGAAATACTAGGTTACTAATAGTGAAATAATTTATTTCTTTTATGAAATAATTTATTTCTTTTATGAAATAATTTAATTAACAAATTTAAATAACAAAGGTCAAGTTATCTGGAATGTCAATTTATCCGAGGGTACTGCGTTTTTTAAATTAATCAAATATGACGTTTGCCAGTTCCACAATCAAGCCTATGATTTACAGAGGTTTCTGCACAGAAATCTGAAAGGGGTTTTCCATTTAGGTGGATGTTCATAATGTGTTTTTTTGTAAGTTCATTGCTGAAAAGTCCCTTTCAACTGCTGCAGTACTCCCAGACGAAAAAAAACATAAATCCACCATGCGCAGTATGCTGCTGTACGGGATTTCTAGATTAGAGGGTCATTTTAGAAGTGAGGCGCTAGACTCTTGTAGGATAACAAAAATTGAAAGTGTATCACGAACATTAACGGGAAAATGGCCATCCGCGCGGGCGTCTGATTCGAGAAATTCGTTGTCCGCGGGAAATTTTTGACCGCCGAGGACGGGCGGTTTTTCGAGCCCTGCTTAAAACTGAAGAAAATAGAAAATAAAAATTACTAACGAAGTTTTAATAATTATGATGGCCATAAGAACTTCAATCTTAAAAACACGTGAATTAAAAATTGTTATTTACAGGAAAAGAATTTTAATTAAAAATCGAGTATCGAGAAATAAGGATATTCGGGACACCTACCCACCACGTTAGCTTTCGTAGCTGTCATGGTAGCTGCAAATAAATACTCAGGGCTAAAGAGAATAGAAGAACTAGTTCACTCCTTTGAAGAAACTCTCGCAGCGCCAAACCTCCGATTTTCGCCTGTGACGGCACGGTGGCGCAAGCCTTGAGCTTTTACTTCAAGAACGAAACGTTCGGTCTAACTAGCTTTTACTAATATTGGAGTATTCTTTTTTGTGACATATTCCAAGACATCTTTGTTTCCTATAATGATTTTGCTCAGTTTTGTTAAGTGAAGCACAAAAATTTAAAATTATTTATGAAATGCCAGTTTGTGCGATTGCAACTTATAAAAATTCTGATATAAACACAAAAGGAAAAAATATAATTTTCCACGTTTTCCGTAAAGTAAATGAACAACTATGTAATGAATGGCTTCAACATTGCAAACGAAATGACCCAGTTAATATTAAATATGAACGAATATGCAGTAAGCATTTCTTAAAACAAGATTATGAAGATGTTATGAGAAATCGTTTGCTTGGAATTGCCGATTAGAATGATTTTAAAACTGCTCTAACTCTACCAAGTGCTCTCTTATCTAAGGGATGATTAATTGTTCCATCAGCGGTATGGATGAAGTGTGTCAGGAATTTGAGAACATTTTTCAAAGTGTGCATAGAACAGAAAATCAAAAAGCGTCATCAAAGAACTTATAAATGAATTAGAGGGACGATACCCCTCAGTGAATAAAACAGCAATACGCTTATTTTGCATACCAGAACTTTTATAAGAATTCGCCATCCAAATTGAAACCGCCCAGCTACTTCATAAAGAAAGTTAGACGAAAAAATTAAAAAATGAATAACTCAAAGATAATAAAAACTTAGTGAAAAGTATAGATAGTTAATAGTTAAAATTCTCCTAATTTCATAACACAGTTTTTAATGTAGTTATTCAAAATATTTATTTTATTTAATTATAATTATTTTTTTAATATAATTATATTCTTTTAAATTTAAATATCAATAAGCAATTGTAAAATTTCTAATATTTTTATGAACCTAAATTATTATTTTGTTATAATAAGTAGCTTTTAAGGTTGATGCTTTCTAATGATTAAGCATTAACAAATTGCCATTAACAGCATATTTTAAAATCAGGATTCTAAATTTAACCCAACTTAACAAATTATTGTTATCGAACAACATGTAGCTAAAAAAGTGTCGATATATTCATTAAATGTTTTTAATTATAAAAGTTAAAACTGAAAATTTTAAAATAAAGTATTTATAGCGTCATCCACGACAACTAGTAAAAAATTTTATTAGTTTAAAATGGTATTTAATTTAATATTTTGGCCAATTTTTTTTTAAACTATGTTTTTGTAAGGAAATATGTTAATTGCATAACGTTTGAAAGCTAATATCAAGAAAAAGTCGAACTCATTTTAATAGAGAGAATGATACGAAGTTTTCACAATATCTTTACTAGCGATCTCCAAGATCTGTGTGCAGCGTGACGTCAGGAGGAGGGAAATCGTAGCTTCAACTCTAAGAGCGGAATGAACTAGCCCTTCTTTCTTTTCTTTAGCCCTGGTAAATGCTTTCATTTTTCTGCAAAACCAGGTAAAGACACACAAACAGAATTTTTTTTTATTATATGTAAATATGTACAAAAATTGTAAGCTTTAATATACAAAATTAAAATAGTTAATATAAATATTCTTTACATAATCATTTGATTTTCGTCAGTTTAAAAATAATGCATACTTTGAGTCAATTATTTTACACTAGTGATGAAAAGAAATTTTCTTCCGAAGTAGATTGATCATTAATGTCGAGGTCTATTAACTGTCCCGCTTTGCGGCATGAAGCGCAGCAGTATCTGCCATAAGCTTTGTTATTGCAGTAATTATTTTTAATGAATTTCTGACAATCTTTGAACAGTGGATTGTCGACACAGCTTGGATCTTCATCTAGAAAGAATCAATAAGAATAGCTAATTAATCAGAAAAAAATAGCATTTTTGCTATTAAACTAAAGATTATGAGAAAAAAATTTAGTAAAAAGTAAAGTGTTTTGATTATATCTATAAAAATTATGTTTCTGCGATGCAAGCGAAACGTTTACTAAGATTTATTAAAAATCTTCCTAGTAGAATTAAAGTATCACAATAGTTCATCGAGTTTTGAATTTGTATGTCAGTTTTTCGGCTTGTTTGTCTTTTTTTCTTAGCGCGCGATATTCAACAGTTTAAATTTTTAAAAGCTCCATGTTTTCGAATTTTCCTTTATTTGAAAAAGGTAAATTAAAATTTATTAAAAATTGTAATCAAATTATTGAAAAACATTTGAACGGCTTTAAATTGCTTACAGATCAAATTTATTGATTGAACTATGGTCCTTTTTTTAAACACAAGGTCATCGAAAAATAAAATTCCTGGAATTTATAGTTATACGTATATATACACTATAGTAATATTATTTATTTTATAGTTTGAGATTAAGTTAAGGGACAAAGCTAAGAGGGTTGAGTTGAGTTTGCTCATGCTGTTGAAAATTATTGACGTGTACCTTTTAAACCGCATTCTTCTCAAGTCTTGGCGACATCAAGCGACTATTGGTGCGCATATTAAAACGATTTTAAAAATTTGCACTTTTCTTTGTATTTTAAATACCAAATTTAATGTTCATTAATTTTCATTTTATACAATTTTGTAATTACGGCATTCTTTTCGATGACTTTTATTATTATTATAAAATCTGATCAGTTTACAATGCCAAAACTCAATGAATAGTAAGGTTTATTTATTCATTTTTTTAAAGAAAGAAAACGCTCTGGGAAATCTTGAATTATTTCCAAATAAAATATTTTTTGAGGAGAATGGTTGAAAGTTTGGGACCTTTAATGCTACTTTCAATTTTCATATATTTTCTCATACCTCGAAAGCTTTTTTAAATGAATCGAAAAAGTTTAAAGCCCAACTATAAGTTTAATTAATCGAAAGATAATTCTGTGTAAAAAGTTTCGATAGTCTATCGTTATTTTAATTATTTTATTTAATAAGGGTCGAAAATTTTTGAGTTGTAAGGTAAATAAATGTTTACAACATTTTAAACTACTTAATTTTAAGTGACAAAACACAAAATTTGACCGAAAATATTATAGCTGTTTTTGAGAAATAGGTGTTTGAAATTTTATAACTATTTAACCACTTTCTCTGAAAAAATTGTTTTTTAAAATTTAAACTTCTTAAACTCATGTAAAAAATTTTATACCTCATAATTAGCGTATTTGATGTTGCCGTTTTAAACCATAAAGATTGACACTTAGTTTGCGAAAAATCCGAACATTAAATCAAAGGTTATTCAAGACGATTAGCTTTATTTTGCGCACTGTACTTAATCAGCACAATTTAAAGTAAGTTTTATTTTTTTAAAGTATTAGCCTGTGTAGTCTTTGGCTATCAAAGTAAATAAACATTTTCCATATAATTTACTACTTTTGTTTTCTCACCACGTAATGCGAATATTATAAAGTTGTTCTATTGGTCCTTTTTTCTCGTCTTTCACTTCAGGGTGTTCCGTAATCACCACCTTTAATGAATATTTTTCGAACCTTGAAGTTAAAGTAATATTCATTCGAAGAAAACTTATCGAAAAAAAGACCTACCGAAATACTATTGATAAAGTTAAGATAAAAATTTATAAAATCAGGTTTATTGCAGTACGGTCCTTGAAAGTGTTTCTTATAATCGTGTTTCAACTCCTCTGTTTTCTTTTTAAATCGAACAGAATTTGATATTTTTACCCTAGCAGCATGTTAGTATTTAACTAAGTATAAAAATTTATTTGCCTTCTACCGTAATTTTTTGTTTTTGTCCTTTTCTCTGCTTGCACCGTCTGTTACATATATAATTTTGCAACTATAGTTAATTGAAACCGTATAGATAATTGTTCGTAATATAATTGTTTAGAAGTAGATGAATAATTTAACAATAACTTGTTAGAAGAAATCTTTTCTTATTTGTTCATTTATAACGCATGCGCTCTGAAACTCTTGTTGAGACATTATTTACTTTACAATGCAGCAAGGTACTATTTTTTTCCGCCAGGAAAAAAAAAATTTTAGTTGCGTCACCTCCTAAAGTCTTGTAACTGTCCTGCTTTTAAGCATGAGGCGCAGCAGTATCTGCCATAAACTTTGTTATTGCAATAATTATTTACAATAATGATCTGACAGTTGGAAAAATGTGGATCGTCAACACAGCTTGGATCTTCAACAGTTAGGTCTAAAAGAATAAGTTGTTGAAATCAGTTAAAAAATCGAGCAATGAAAATCATTTTCATTATTAACCAAACGGATAACACAACAAAAATTATAGTAAAAAAATTTAAAGCATTTCACCAATATCGCTGAATTTAAGGAAACTCATTGAATGTTTAACTTTCATTGTCGTCACTCAGTGGATAGAATACTCGTGTACCAGGTTCGAACCTCAACAATGACTAGTCGATACAAATTCTGTTGACAGCTCACAGCAACCACCGTGTTAGGTAAAAATATCATCAGTGGTAGACAGGTGAAGGATTTGAATCCCCCTCATGCCACGAGCACCGTAGAAGGTTTTCTTCTCTATGTAATGTAGGTTTAAGCGTCATAAAAAGGCACTCAAAGAAAGCTAGTTTGTCCAAATGCTTGAAAAAGGAGTTTCCTTGTTAGGTTTAAAATAACCAAGCTATGGATTTTCTAGATTGAGAGTCATAAATCTAAAGATGGTTCAGCTGCTCAACGGAGGTATTCCAAATAAAATAAAAACTTTGCTGTCGTCTTTTGTTGATACTCAATAGGAATTAGTGACAGAATAGTGACAGCTATATGATCTTAAAGTATAATTTTTCATAATTTTTCTTATTCGAAATCTACAAGGAGTGCATGTGGTATTTCTTCGAGTTTTGACTTCGTATTTGAAATAAAGTACTCTGAAAATACCAATTTAAAAATTATAGGCTTCACCAGTTTAAATCGTTGAATATTTCTTATGATCACATTTAACTATTTTATTAATTATCTTATTGAGTTGTTACATTTCAAAATACCGAGTCGAGACATAATAAACGTTCTGATAAAGTTAAATATAATGTGTTCTTTTGTTTTATTAGTATAAGGAACAATTTTTGAGAATTTAACGTTTGCAACTTGAACTTGAAGAATTGTTTTGAACTTGATGGATTGTTTGTAAATTGAAATTCATAAATCTAGGGCGTTTTCTTTTTTATATATTATATACAGTTATGTATTTGGGAAAAAATTACAGTACAACTGCGACACCGTTCATTTGTTAGGGCTCTTCTCGGTCAAATTATATATTATTTAAAAACGTGTGTATGGTCTTAGTCTGCATCAAATTGTTTATAATTTCAATAAACAAAAGCAGTCTATTCAATAAGCAAAAATGGTAGCTTTTATGTGTATTGAATCTCTTTAACATCATTAATCGTGCATATTTCGCATTTTAGTTTTAAAGGAAAAGAAAAAACCCTCGCAAGGCAATTTTTGAAAATGGCGATTTTTACATTGCATTGTGGATAGGATGCTGAATTTAATGGCAAAATGGTCAGAATTGGCAATGCTAAACGGAATTGACTTCACGCGTTTTAGCTAAGATTAAAAGACAGTGTTATGAATTAAATCTGACGCTTACTAGATTGCATATCAAAAATACAGCTTTTTTAAAATTCGATTTCTCAGGAACTATTCGACCAATTTCGCTCAAATTTTGAATTTTACTACGTAAGATTACATTCTTGAAAATAATGTATACCTTACGACTATTATTAAATTAAGTAATAAAACATAATAAATATTTACTAAAAAATAATTTTTTGCATGGAATTATCTTTGGATAAGCGAATTTTATAATTGTGTATAATAATTTTGAAATTCGCTTGGAAAGTTCTCGAGATATGGCGAAATACGCAAAAAGTAAAAGCAAAATTCAGTGTGTTCAAACTTCGGACTGCTCTTCCGACCAACATATTGGGACAGTATTTCCCAGATTTCGGCTACCCCCAATATTTTGAAGTCAGAAATCCAAATCCATCTAAGAAAAGGTATGTTTTTACAGAGAAAGTACGTTTTTGTGGCTGATTTTGTAACCTAAAATATTGTATGCACTAATTAATTAGCATATTTCAGGTCACCCCTTTAAATCATTAGGATCTAGAACGTGAAGATCCAATCATTAGATCAAAAGTTATTCAGGGTGGTAAGTTAATTTTTTTGTGTGCATAGAACGTACGAAAAGCAAACTTCATTACGTATTAGAGTAAGAAGGACAACTAATAAATTAACTTACCAATGACTGTTATGGATACAGAAGATGTGGCTATATTATTGTTATATTCTGCAATACATTTATATTCACCGCTGTCTTCTTTTTGTGCTTTAGAGATAAACAGCGTGTTGTTTGAAAGCAAATTTATGCGATCGTTCTCCACTATAATACTGTTTTCATGACTCCAAATTGCTGTTTTTACTAATTGAGGACCTTTTACAACACAATCGATCTGGAGAGGTGAATCAACGGTTGGATCATTAGTAACTAAGCTGACCATAGTTTCCAGTGGTTCTAAAAAGAAAATAAGAGCACAATAGGAAAGAGTGGGGTCAATTGTAACATTTTTTACTTAACTATAAAACTAACTTTAATTTTAACTAACAAAAAATCCAATACAGTATTAGTATTAATTGACAGATGAGTAAAGTAGACTATCCTCTGCTAGAAAAAAAATAAGTACCTTATTTTAAATGTTATTATATTAGTTATTAAAAATTTTTGACAATCGTGCACTCGTTACAATTGTCCCCATTTACGGGGTCAATTGTAAAAATTCATAAATTAAACTAACACATAGTTAATTATACATATTATCATAGTTGTGTTATATTTCTTAATTGATCAAAATAGTAGTGATATTTTAGAAGTAAAAATAATAATGAGCAGAGACCTAAAGGGTTAAACATTTAACTTTATAAGGGGTTAAAAATTGTAATTTATGTTGTGAAAGGTGACAAATAAAATAATGCACATGCAACATAATATAAATACAATCGTCCCTTTACTTATTGTTACAATCGTCCATAAGACGCCATTTCAGCTTAATTTGTTAAAAACAATGCTAGTTAATTAACAAAACTAATCTTTTTTTTAAAATGTTAATTAAGGTGTCCACTTACATAGTCGGTTAATAATTTTTATTTGTTTAAACAAAATTACTTTGTTACTATATAATATTCTAATACCAAAAAAGTACTTATGTAGCGTGAAAATATCTTTTGTGATGTAACTCTTTCAAAAGTACATAAAAATGGTTGCCAGCAGGGGTGTACATGTAGATTTATTAAATACACCTTGTGCGCTGCCTAGGAACCAAATCTAGAACCCGACACTTAAAATTTTTGCTTTGTTACAATCGTGCCCTGTTACAATTGACCCCACTCTCCCCTACGTATAGTTTAGATTTACAGATTTTTCATTTTGCTTCTTTGCGCACGGGGAATGCATGCATTTATAATATATTTTTTATTTTGAAGGGTCTATTGTATCGCACGAAATTTTTCCTTTTAAATTTCAGTTTATATTGATTGAAGTCATGAGGAAATTTTCAATATTTTATCAAATCAAAAGTTATCATAACTCATCGGCGTTAGAGGATGACACGTTAATAAGCAAAGCGCGTTAAAGTGTACATAGACCGCAAAATAAAAAAATATATATATATATAACCATGAGTAACTTTTGTTCGAATAATCAGATTTTTGCAAACTCTCTGCTGATCATAACGGTTTAAAAGGGTAAGCTCAAACGCGTTAATTAATGCTAATTATTAATTAAGTTACAGAATCAGATACAGAAACGTACTTTCTCTCAATAAACATATCCTTTATTTCTTTTTTGTTGGGATTTGCGAATATCAAAATTTGAGGGATGGCTGCTATCTGGAAAATATGGTCCTGATAGTTTAGTCAGGAAAACGGTCGAGAATTTGGGAAGTGTAATAATTTTCACGAGCTTCTTTTCTCGAAAGCTTTTTAAAATCGAAAATGTTTAATACACTGCAGTACGTTTAATTTCGCGAAATAAAACTTTAGATAGAAAATAATTTTTCATAATCTCTTATTATAGATATTTTTTCATAAGTGCTGAAATAATTTTAATTATAATGCAAATAAATCCTCATATCATTTTTAAACTATGTAATTTTAAATGATAAAATACAAAATTTATCGAAATTAGTATAGTTGTTCTTGAGAAATATAATTTAAAGAATACGAGTGTTTTGAAATTTTATAACATATTCAAACACTTTCTATTAAAAAATTTGTTTTTGCCAATTAAAATTTCCTAATTTAAAATTGTTTAAAAATTATTATTCCAGATGATTAAATATTTTTTTCGAACTTGATTAAGTGAAATAATAAAATTTACTTACATGGAATTATTTTTGGATAAACGAATTTTATAGTTGCGGACGAGAATATTTCGAATCGCTCTAAAACTTCCCGAGATATGGCTAAATACGCAGAAAGTGAAATTAACATTTAGGACCCCATACTTTCGACATGTTTCCTGCTGAATCTCATATTTTCCAGCTATTCTCCATATTTTGATAGTCAAAAATTCAGATCTTTAAAAAGGTATGTTTATTCAGAGAAAGTACGTTTTTTAGTCTGTTTCTGTAACTTAATTAGTAATTAACTTTAATTACCATATTTAATGTCACCTTTTTGATCAACTAAAATTGATACCTAGTTCGTGAATATCTGATCATTAGAACAGAATTTATTTAAGGTGATATTTTTCTTTGCGCGCTGTACTTATTCAGCACAAAATAAGTTTTATGTTTTTAAGTATTATTTTGAGTAGTCTTTTCCGATCAAAGCAAATAAAAATATTTTATTGGCACGGGATTTCAACATTACTACGTGGTTCTATTGACCTCTTTGTCATTATTTAGCTTCAGGGTGTTCAGTAATCACCACCCTTAATGAATATTTTTCAAACTTGAAGTCAAAGTATTATTCAATCGAGGAAAACCCAATCGAAATTAGACGAAACACTACTGATAAAGTACGATTTAAAAACTTAGAAACTAGATTTATTGCCACGTGGTACTTTCAACTCCCCTCTGCCGATCGAACAGATTTTAAATTCTGTCTTCTTCAATAGTGTTTTTATCAGTTTTTGATATAATTTTTTGTTCCAAATTAAATATTCGTCTTAATAAAAGCCACAAAAATGTACAGACTTTCAAAACCAGATGCTCCAATCATTGATGTAGCTGACCATGCGGCTTCTGCATCGGGAGTTAGCACAGCTTCTGTTTTCAGAATTATTAAAGATTAAAAAAGGGATGGTATATTACATTCACCGAAGAGGACTAAATCTCGTAAAACTTTTTTGGATGACATTACAGTGCAGACTCTATAAAAAAGAACGCTTCTCAGCGTCGAAACACAAAATGACTAGAGAAGGTTACGAGACAAACACATAGCAATAGAATAAAGTGGTTTACCAATAGGGTAAGAGGAAGAAGCTTGAACTAGGTAATAAAGAAAGAAGTCAAGAAACAGGTGTGAGGGGGTTGAGTAAGAGTCTGAGAATGCAAGAGGTGAAAATTAAGTTATAACTGATTTCCAAACATTAGGAAAGAATGGGATGCTAGAAAAATCATTTAACTAAATTATTAGAAAACTTCGAAATATAGAATGATTTTCAAAAGATGGTCGGTACAGCGAGCAGTGTTGAATGACTTTAGCAGAATGAAACTCAAACCTTTAATTAGAATTCCAACTTTGTTGTGAAATCCTGATTTTGGCTTAATCCTTCTCATTATTTAAGTCGATATTAAAGTTAATAAAGGTGTGTCCATCATACTCATCAAGGCATTTGACAAATGCCCCAGGTAATAATTATTCAACACTGAGTTCAGCTACTGACCATCACCTTTGGGAATCACAGCCATTTTCATATTGGTTTAATCATTTTGTTTTATAGCAACGTGTTTGCCTTGTAATCTTCTCCAGTCATTTTGTGATTCGACAGCGACATTAAGGATGGGTTTTCCTTATCGAACGAAAACTATAGGTATGTCCATTTCTGTACCTTTGTTTATGCTTTATTCACATTTTTTTTTATTCATAAATAGATTAAATTACACCTTTCTGCGTGCATTTCTTTGACTTTATTTATGAAAAAGTTTCGAAACTAAACATTAACAGCATTGGTAACGGATCACATTTAACATTTTTTTAAACATATTTACTGTTTCCGCATTTTATTATTTAATCAAGTATATAAAAAGGTTTTGTATTCTACCGTAGTTTTTTTTCTATGCTTGCGTTGTGTCTTTTTTATTTATCTATTTATTTTGCAACGAAAGTTACTTAAAACTGTAGTAATTAATATTTATTTGCTTTATAAAGAAAATCACATGATAATGAAATATTCGAAGTGTTTCAAAACCTAACCAATAAATTAAACACTTACCAATGATTGCGATGGACAAAGATGATGAGGCAAAATTATTGTTATATTCAGCTGTGCATTTATATACTCCACTGTCTTCTTTTTGTGCTTTGGAGATAAACAGTGTGTTGTTTGAAAGCAAATTTATGCGATCGTTCTCCTCAATAACATTGTTTCCAAGACTCCAAATTGCTGCTTTTGCTGATTGAGGACCTTTCACGATGCAATCAATCTGGAGAGGTGAACCAACTGTTGGATTGCTAGTAACTAAGCTGACCTCAGTTTCCAGTGGTTCTGAAAGGAAAAATAATCTCGCATAAGATATTAAATTTACAGACAATACATACGCATGGTGAATAGTACATTTATATTTGATTTAATTATTGAAAAATTAAAATATTAAAATTAACAACAAAAATGCAATTTTGATTGGAGTGAATCGTGTTTCAACTCCTCTGTTTTCTTTTTCAATCGAACAGATTTTGATATTTTTACCTAGGAGCATGTCAGTATTTAATTAAGTGTATAAAATTATTTGCCTTCTACCGTAATTTTTTGTCTTTATCTCTGCTTGCACTGTCTGTTACATATATAATTTTGCAACTATAGTTAATTCGAACTGTATAGATTAATACTTATTTGATTTATACAGAAAATCCCATGATAAAGAAGAATTCAAAGTGTTTCAAAATCCAACAAATAAATTAACTACTTACCAATGACTGCAATGGACAGAGTTGATGAAGCTACGTCATTGTTATATTGAGCTGTGCATTTATATACTCCGCTGTCCTTTTTTTCTGCTTTAGAGATAAACAGTGTGTTGTTTGAAAGCAAATTTATGCGATCGTTCTCCACTATAACGTTGTTTTCATGACTCCAAGTTGCTGCTTTTACTAATTGAGGACCTTTTACAATGCAATCGATCTGGAGAGGTAAGCCAAGTCTTGAATCGTTAGTAACTAAGCTTACTATAGTTTCCAGCCTTTCTAAAATGGAATATAAATTCACAATAAGATTAGTTTAAGTATACAAATAATCCCGTTCATTTCTTCGCACATGGTGAATAACAGGATATATTTAAATATATTTCGTATTTCATCGCAAGTATTTCTTCCTTCTAAATTCCTTCCTTCATTCATTCTAAAAACAGCAGACCCAATATTTGGATTTACGACTACTAATGTTCAACTTCGTAGATTTGTAAATTTGAACCCAGTCCAGAAGACAAGGGAACTCATGGATCAAGTATCGGTAGAAATTTGCCTTCGTTTAGGACTCTTTGATGGAACTAACCGTGACATGGAGAGGAAGACCACGAGAACCTCCCACGGTTAGCCTGATGACAAGGGAACTCTAACTCATGATCCGTCGACCACTGAAGTCAGTGCAAGCCGGATGCGGAATTCGTATCGACCAGTCATAGGTGGGATTCAAACCCGGTTCACCTCCATGGAAGGCGAACACTCTATCCCCCAATCCATCACGGTTCCCATGAAGAAGATTATCAATATTTTATTAAATCAATCCCTTCCCTTCATCCCGTCCCTTAAATCGTTCCCTTCATTAGCCTTAAAAAATACCACATTAATAAGCAAAACTAATTAAAATATGTAGAGTGCCCGAAATAAAGAGATATAACCCTGAATAACTTTTATTCGAATGATCAGATTTTCGCGAACTGTCTGCCGATCATACTGGTTTGAAAGGGCAACCTCAAACGTGATAATTATTAATTAAGTTTCAGAATCAGATACAGAAATGTACTTTCTCTCAATTAACATATCCTTTTTTTTCGATTTAATTGAGTTTATCAAAATATGAGGGCTTGTTGCAACCAGGAAAATATGGTCCCGATGAATGGTCAGATGAGTCAGAAGAACGGTCGAAGTTAGGGGACCATTTCTCTTTTTATGTGTTTCTCCATATCATGAAAGCTTATTTTAATGTATCGATGCAATTTAATATACAATCAAAAGTTTAGACTTAATTTAGATAATTCTATGTAAAAAATAATTTTCATGGTCTCTTATTATTTTTATTATTTATTTAATCAAGGTTGAAGAAATCGTAGTGTAAATAAATTTTTACACCAGTTTGAACTGAGTAAATAAATTTAAATGCTAAAATACAAAATTTGAATGCAATTAGTAGATTTGTTCTTAAAAATATAATTTTAAAATTATGAATTTTTTGAAATTTTATAATTTTATAACTGTTCAACTATTTTATATCTCTCTAAAAAATTTTTTTGTTAATTAAAATTGAATAGTTTAAAATGATATAAAATTTTTTCTAACTTGCAATTCAATATTATTTCGAATTTGATTAAATGAAACAGTGAAAAGTATTTTTTTTTCGGGGAATTGTTTAGGACATACGAATTTAATAATTGCGTGCGGAATGTGTGTTTGATTCGCTACAAGATATGGCTAATAATGCAAAAAGAAGCATTAAGAGGCACAAACTTTCGGCAACTCTCCAGTCAAACTAATGGGACCATATTTTCCAAATTACGTCTTCACCCCATATTTTGATAGTCAAGAATCCAAATCAAGAAATGGTACATTTGTTCAGAGAAAGTACGTTTTTTAGTCCATTTCAGTAACTTAATTAATAGTTATAGCTTTAATTAGGATATTTAAGGTCATCTTTTCAAACCATTAAGATTATGGAAAAATCCGTTCATCAAAAGTTATTTTAGGTGATACATTTTGCTCACTATATTTACTCAGCATAAAGTAAGTTTTATATTTTTAAGCATTATTCTGTGCAGTGCAGTTTTTGCCCATCGGAGCAAGTAAAGATATTCGATTGACATAATATTTGTTACTTTTGATTTTTTACCACGTGATACCAATATTTTAAAATGGTTCTATCAGCCTCTGTTATTCTTTCGCTTCATGGTTTTCGGTAATCGTCACCCTTAATAAATAATTTTCAAACTTGAAGTCAAAGTATAAATAGAGGAAAACCCTATCGAAACTAGACAAAACGCTATTGATGAAGTTAGGTTTGTTAAGTTTAAAAACTCTAAAGTTGGAATTATTGCCATGTGGTACTTATAAGGGTTTCTAATACTCGTCTTTCAACTCCTGTTTTCTCTGGCAATCGAAGAGATTTTTATTTGTGTCTTCTTCAGTATTGATTTTATCGGATTTTTATAGCATTTTTGTCTTGAATTAAGTATTATTTTTTGTAAAGTAATAAAACTTGGTTAAAGATGAAATAAAGGCACAAAAATGGCCCTACTACGGTGTAGGCCTTATCAGCAAGAACCTTCCTCAGCGTCCAAACACAAAATGACTGGAGTAGGTGACGAGACCAACACGTTGCTATAAAATAAAGTGGTTTAACGAGTAGAGGGGAAAAAACTTCATCAAGGTAATACAAAAGGGAGATAAACAAGTGTGCAGTGGATGAGTCAAAATCTCAAAGTTCAAGTTATAGAAATTAAATTTCAAGTGATTTTAAAACATTTGGAAAGAATGGGATACTAGAAAAAATCATTAATTCAATTATTAGAAACCTTCGAAAGATGATTCACAGAAGACCAGGTCGGTACAAAGGGTAATGTAGAATTATTTTAGCAGATGAAAATTCAAACCTATGATTAGAATCCCAATCGTGTTGGATGATCCTGATTTTGGAGAAGTTTTTCCCGTTCTCTAAGTCTATATGTTTAAGAAAACCATTATCCAATATACAAAAGACCACACTAAGACGAAATTTGATAACTACCCCAGCTATTAATTATTCAATACTGCTTTCAGCTTCTCACTTCAACTTTTTGGAATCACAGCAATATTTTAAAAAATTCTAATAATCTTGTTAATAATAATCTTTCCCAATATTTGAAAATCAATTCTAATTTGATTTCTGCACCTTGTACCCAGAGGTTCTCATCCAGCCACCTCACACCTGTTTCTTATCTTTTTTTTTTTATAACTTTGTCCAAGCTCATTCCTCTTCTTTTCCTATTGGTTAAGCAGCCTTATTCCATAGCAATGTGTATGTCTTGTAACCTTTTCCAGTCATTTGAGTTTCGACATTAAGGATGATTCTTGTTTGTGGAACTGAAACTGTAGTATATCCATTTCAGCTTCTTGATTTGTTCTCTATTCACATTGTTTTGCTTTATTTATGCATAGCACAAAGTACACCCTTTATATTATTTAATTATTACTTTATATTTCTTTCTGTTTGTATTTATTTTCATTCATTTTTAGCACAATTTCGAATATAAATATTAAGAGCATTGATTTTACGGAACATATTAAACGTAGCAGCGTGTTACTATTTAGCCTAGTATATAAAGTTCTTTACTTTTTACTGTAATTTTTCTTATCTCTGCTTGTTTTATGACTGTTATATATTTAATTTTGCAACGATAGTTAATTAAAACCGTTGGAATTAATACTTTCTTGCTTTATATCTCACTTCATCATTACTTGCTTTGAATCTCATAAAAATAAGGAATTCAGTGTTTCAAAATCCAACAAATAAATTAAACACTTACCAATGATTGCGATGGACAAAGATGATGAGGCAAAATTATTGTTATATTCAGCTGTGCACTTATATACTCCACTGTCTTCTTTTTGTGCTTTAGAGATTAACAGTGTATTGTTTGAAAGTAAATTTATGCGATCGTTCTTCTCAATAACATTGTTTCCAAGACTCCAAATTGCTGCTTTTGCTGATTGAGGACCTTTTACGATGCAATCAATCTGGAGAGGTGAACCAACTATTGGATTTTTAGTAACTAAGCTGACCTCAGTTTCCAGTGGTTCTAAAAGGAAAAATAAGCTCACATAAGATTTTAAATTTACAGACAATACATTTTGTTTACTTACGCATGGTGAATAGTAGCAAGCATTTATATTTTATTTCATTATTGAAAAATTGAAATCTTAAAATTAACAACAAAAATACAATTTTGTTTAAAGTGTATCGTGTTTCAGCTCCTCTGCTTTCTTTTTCAATCGAACAGATTTTGGTATTTTCACCCTAGCAGCATGTCAGTATTTAACTAAGCATATAAAATTATTTTCCTTCTACCGTTATTTTTTGTCTTTATCTCTTCTTGCACTGTCTGTTGCGCAAATAATTTTGCAACGATAGTTAATTAGAACTGAATAGATTAATACTTATTTGATTTATACAGAAAATCCCATGATAATAAAGAATTCAAAGTGTTTCAAAATCCAACAAATAAATTCATCACTTACCAATGATTGCGATGGACAAAGATGATGAGGCAAACTTATTGTTATATTCAGCTGTGCATTTATATGTTCCGCTGTCTTCTTTTTGTGCTTTAGAGATAAACAGTGTGTTGTTTGAAAGCAAATTTATGCGATCGTTCTCCTCAATAACATTGTTTCCAAGACTCCAAATTGCTGCTTTTACTGATTGAGGACCTTTTACGATGCAATCAATCTGGAGAGGTGAACCAACTGTTGGATTGTTAGTAACTAAGCTGACCTCAGTTTCCAGTGGTTCTAAAAGGAAAAATAAGTGCACGTAAGATTTTAAATTTACGGACAATGCATTTTGTTTACTTACTAATGGTGAATTAGTAACATGTATTCATATTTTATTTAATGATTGAAAAATTAAAAGATTAAAATTAACAGCAAAAATACATTTTTGTTTGGAGCGAAATCTGTGCTTGGTTTTCAAAACTAAACATATATTTTGAGGTAATAACGTAAAATCTCATTTAAATAAATTGTTCTATTAGATCCAAACTAAAATAATTTTGATATTTCTGGTTTTTATTTTTAAAAAAAATTCTGCCTCTCAAGGAGTTAACAATGATTTCACTTTACATGAAAGTTTGTTTTAGGCATTCAGTAACTACTGAATGAAATTTATAGGTATATATAGGTATTTTATATAGGTATAGGTATTTAGAGGAACGTTGCTATAAGACTAACAAATGAAATCCAATTCCAAATGAAGTGTCCTGTTTTTACCAAAAAGCTGTTAAATAAATGCCTAATTACAACATTGCCTAAATTATTTAGGACGATTTTTAATGTACAGAAATAAACACCATTTTAGTTAGAAGTATATAAATAAGGTTTTATATTCATTTAGTCAAAAGAGAGTAGTCGAATGCTGTGAATTTTAAACAAAAGGGCATATTTTCATCTGACCACAATTAAAATTTTCATATGCAACTTAAGTTTAAAGTAATTCCATTAATTATATATAATTATAACTACTATATCTAATTGGCAGCATTTTTAAAATTATATGTATTTAGCGCTTATAAATAAGCTGACAATTTACTTTAAGTATAGCTACGAAATTAAGCAATTTTTTTTAAAAATGTTTAATTAGCGCTTAAACCAATTTCAGAAATTGACATGTGAGACCGCTCATAAATGTCACGCTCTCTTTTCTCAATATTTTTGACCTCCTTCTTCCTTTTTTTTTTTTACAAAGTATCATATTTAAAGGCCGGGTGATAGCCTGGTTGGTAGGGCGCTGGGCCCATGTCCAAGAGTTCAACCGGTTCGATATCCACCGACCGAGGACTCCCCGTGTAGTAAACGGCGACTGATGCAAGTTAAATCTGTCGAGTCGTAAAGTCCTCCATGTTCCCATAACAAATCAATACCTCTGGGGGTACTGATCCAGGAGTTTCCTTGTCTTCTGGATTGGGTTCAAAATTACAAGGCTACGGAGTTAAACATTAGTAGTCGTAAACCCAAAATTGGGTCGGCTGTTCAACGACGGATATAAAATGAAAAAGTATAATACTTTACTCTCTATTCCCCTTTGTCACATGCCGTGCTATATTACAAAAACATCAATTCAGAAACAAAACATATGTTATAAATGATATTTATTATTTTAACTACGCCCTTTAATGACATTTATGAGCATTAGAATAATAATGCTTAGATGTGTACAGTCTGTCTATGGAAAGAAATTCCCTCACTATTAGTCTGAAGGAGTGGTGGGGACTATGGTTACGAGGTTCAACTATTTCAAGTAGAGGTGTTTGGTCAGTGTTTAAGCAGGTTTTGGCTCTGATCGACGAGATATTGGAAGAGAAACTCCCCTCTTTGAAATAAGCTATTTCTTGTTTCCATAGTAGCAAACGGTCTCAGACTTAGTGGCGATAGACAAACAAATAGACAAACTATTACTATTATTACTTTGATGAAAAAAAATAACAAAGATATTAGAAACTTAATTTAAAAAGTTTTTATTTTATCTCAAATGTGTGATGTCCAACTTCTTGACACCACACTTCCCTTTCAAATGTTCTTCTACAGAGAAATATTTAATATAATACTAAGAGAAATATTTTATACCTTAAAGTTGTATACAAGCTCATATTACATTGGAAATTGGTTAATGCACAAACGGATTCATTTTTGTTTGCAATAGTTAGTTATCGAAGGCACAGAAAGACACATTTTTAAACCGGAGCATTATCCAAATCTAACTAACATGGAATACAATTGTGGTTTGCAGCAATGTTTTCATCAATACCATTCTTTTTCTAAAAGTAGACTTTTCACTTCTTTTTAAGTGACCAGTAAGGCGCGATCCTATATTTAATCGTCGATATATATTTTTGTTATAGAATTTTATTTGTAATGCTGGCTAAACAATTTTAGTGATTCTTAAATATCTAATTTTTAATCCGTTCAGTAAACTCGCATGTTTTCGATCCGAATAAATGGACAGATTTTTTCATACACAGAGGGCCCCGAAAAAAAATTTGTGCTCAGAACTGTGACGTGTGCGTTGTTGTCTAAATTAGAACTTGCATAATATACAATGAACTTTGGTGAAATTAAAATTATTAAGATTTTAGACGCATTATAATTAAGGTTAGGTCAAGTTATTTAAGGTTATGATTAAGTAAGAGTATTATGATAGCGGCGTATCTTTATTTGATTGGGTAAATCATTGCCAAAGCACTCAAGAAGACTTGTTCCATTCTTAATTTCGCTTACATCTAAGCAGATTTTTTTAAAATTTAAATGCATTAAAAACTAACACTCTTAATACAGAATACCAGCTATGAAGTATCAGTGTATTTACCTTGTAGATATTGAAAAGGTGGCGGTAAAGATGTAGTTGATGGAAGAAGAGGTGTTAAAAGTTTTGATTCTTTGAAACGACCCTCTTCAGTGTAATACGTTGCTGCATACGTTGGCTGTGCTTCAATGGTTAGTGTTACATTGTAGACAACGACGGCATCACTTATTTCATTGTAAGCTCGGCATGAATATTTACCACTGTCCTGATAGACAAGAGATCGAATGACTAAAGTAAAATCGTATTTCATGTCATATCGGCGACTTGACAGGGGCAGCATTGAAGTATCATGATACCAAGAAACAGTAGGTCTTGGAGTCCCGATAGCTTTACAAGGCAGTTCAGCTGGCATTCCGATGCGTCCTTTTACCTCACGTACACTAGGTAATATTTGGGCTGTTTCTATATTGAAGAGAAAAAAAACATGCATGACTCGTTAGTATGTGGTTACAAAGGCTGTTTTATGAATTATAATCATACATGCTAAGTGATCATGTGATATAAATAGCAATTGCAAACGAGATGTTTCTTAAAAATAAAATAATTCGTGAAAAGGAAAACATGTTCAGTTTTTCTGTTAGAAATTTTTGGAACGAAATGTTGCAATTTGGAAAAGACTTTTGTGTTCAAATTTTAAATTTATGCAGAAAGTAAACTTTATTTTAAAAACTGCACAGAAGAATGCAAGCAGTCACGCAACAGCAAAAGTGGCGAAAAAAAAAACAGATTACGGTTTCTCTTTACTTAAAAGAAGCTACCGAAAACATCCATTCAGATATAACGTGCAGTTAAAAAAAAATCTATTTTTCAAAACCAAAAATCAATCATTCACAAAAAATAAGCACCTCTATTTTTTTTCATAACATTAGTATTTATATTTGGGAAATCTACCAATAATTCGCATTAAAAACATTAAAAAAAACTAACTTTTAAATATTGAAAGAAATGACACTTATTGCGTTGATTGTAGTTTATCTTTTAATTTTTTCAAATTGTATAAACTGAATTAGGAATCTACTTAGAAATCTTTTTATAAAACTTCAATATTTGAAACTACGGGCCGGGTTAGTCTGGTTGGTAGGGCACTGGACCCATGTCCAAGAGGTCGTGGGTTCGATCCGGTGATCGAACTGGTGACCGATGCACGTTAAATCTGTCTAGTCTCAAAGTCCTCCATGTCCCCATTACAAATCATACGTCTGGGGGTACTGATCTAGAAGTTGCTTTGTCTTCTGGATTGGTTCAAAATTACAAGGCTACGGAGTTGAACATTAGTAGTCGTAAACCCAAAATTGGGTGTGCTGCTCAATGGCGGTTATAAAATAAAATATTTGATACTCAAGACATGTTTTGTTATTAAAAATTTACTAAACTTCTCCAACTCATCATGCATTAATGTGTTCAAGTTTCGAAGGAAGTATGCCCGGTCACATAATATGACCACGACCGGAGATCTCTTTACCCGTAAGCTGACCGAAGGCGTTATGAACGGTGTATGTCTAGGAAGTAAAATAGCCAGTTCTTAAAAACTCAGCCTTTTCTTTGTGAGAGGAAACACATTTAATTCATTTCCTCAGTGGCGCTTTGTTAGTGGGCGCTATGTTAGTGGGTGCTTGTTAAGTGGGCGCTATGTTGAATTGATTAAGACTATGGTTGTTATTATTAATTGTTGATAAAAATTACTGTTCTACGATTGGTAATAAATTCTACGCATTTAAAAGGTGTAGTTTGAACACATTTTACTTTTGATGTAGGTTTCATAAAAAAGACTAAATATAAGTAATTGGAAGAAAATGTTACCTGGCTTTATTGGTGGGGGTGGCAGTTCCTCTAAAATAAAAAGAAACCAATAAAATATAGCACTAAAAATAAAAATTTACTTTCCCATTATGTACTGCACACTTTCTATTTAAAACTTAAGATTGATAATCAAATCATTAGACTCAGATCACAAGGTTCATATCAATAAGTCTCTAAATTTTAGTATAAATTTTTTAAAAAATTTTATATCCTTGTGCATGTTAGTGTAAATATTACTTTCCCTGAAATGAACATCTAGACACAAATGTTGCAATTATTAATGTTAATTAATTATAAAAGTTGAAAAATAGAAATAAGTGAAATGAATCCACGGAAAGAAACCGGTCGATTTCATTGAACCAGAGAATTTAAACGAATGGGCCTGTAGCTATTTAAAAAAAGAAAGAAATACAGTATCATCTTAATCCAAGTCGCTAAAATGTTCAAAATTATTATGAGCATGATACGAAAGTACAAGATGCTGATTTGAAATCAACAAAGACCGAAGAAAATGCACTGATACATAAAATGTCCAGAGTCGTTCTAGGAGAAATATAAATTAGATCATTATCTATTTATAGTCCCTGATGTGGTAGGTAGGTGCCTAATTTA